AAATTATAAATATGTGTGTATATATATATAAAAACTATTTATACATGTATTTATACTTATATATATGACAGGGCTCAGAATGCCACAGGCCTTTTTGACTTTTCTATATTGGCCCAATACATCCACCTTTCACTGAAATGAAGCCTTAACTGCACAGATACAGCATCTTCATAACAGCTTCCCCCTGCACTATACTTGAGGATGGAAAACAAGCAAGACTTCACCCAACTGAAGCTGCTAATGTCAATTCCCAAACCTGACTCAAGCCAGATGCTAGGGTAATGCCCCATCTTAAAAAAAAAAAAAAAAAAAAGAGAAAAAAAAAGCAAAGAAACAGAGATAAGCTGTGAGGAACCTGAGTCTGACCTGTGGACTGCAGTCACCTCAGCACAGCAGTGCTGGGCTGATGCACTGATTCAGCTCCGAGTAAGATCCAGACTTCACCTGCTGGGTCACCTACCAGCACATTGCTACAGCAACCACGGTCCTCCTTAAACTGCTGATGTTCTTGTAACCAAGGCTGAGAAAAGATTATCTTGAGGGGAATCAGAGGACTCTTTATAACTCAGACCTAATCAGTCTTTACAGCTCTGCCACAGCTTCCCCGTTTGACATTTTAGAAAGCATTTGCTCATCTCTGCCCCAGGTTTGTCTTCCACCCAACAGCGAAGGCTGGGATAATTTTGCCCTTCTTCAAGGGCTAACCACCCAGTGCCTGCATAGCACGTTCTGGCTCCTCAAAATGGAGGTGCAGTTGAGGTACAAGGAGTTGGGAGAGCACATTATGTGCAGCTTTGTTAACGTGGGAACTTCTTTTTGTGTCTGGGGAGGTGGGTAGAAGTATTTCCTCTCTCAGAGCTTGCTCATCAGTAGGGAGGACGGATGACTGACTTACTTCTCAAGTTACTGACATCTGCTTTCATCTTCTCCTCTTTTTCCTTGTTGCAATCCAGAGAATTTAAGCCTTGCTCCAAGCTCTGCAACGCTTCCTCAGCTTCTCTCAGTCTCTTCTCCAGATCCATGCGCACCTTCACCTCAGCCTGAGGAAGAGAATAAGCACTGCTGAAAAGCAGCTTGCATCTCAATAACCATCCTGCTAACTCACAAGGTCTGTGAGGGACCCACAGGTGAAAATGAAAAGACAACAGTAAGGAAAACCAATAGAAATGTTGTAAGAAAACATGAAAGTTGTTCCTCATGTCTTCAGACAGAATCTGAATTTGAAGTCCAGATTATTTTCGTAGTTTTCCTTTATTCTGACTTTATTTTCACAGTTCTCTCTCATTGTATGAACCATGTGGAATCAGAGAATGGTATTTCACTTTAGTTTGGCCAAGTGGAAGGTTACAGGATAAGAAAATCTTGGAGGTGCAGGAAAAAGAAGAATTGGGGTTTTTTTGGACAAAATATTTGTAGAAGGATGTTGAGTATCAAATAGCCAATAATAAGCATAACCTTTACATTATTTAGATTAAAATAAAACAGCATACTTTGTCCAATTACCTTTGTGTAGATTAAGGTATCTTCCATTACTGGGATAACAAAGGAGGGCTGGTACCTCACCTGCATTCCTTTGCTTTTGAACCCAAGTTCATGCAGAGATTCCTGAAGATTTTCAAATCTTAAGATTGATTCTCTGAGCACAAGCGAGGAGGGAAGATTTCTGCTCAGTTCTGCAATGTCCAGATTAGCATTTCTTTGAAATAATCTTTATTCTTGATTGTGTCTACTTTCCTTTTTTACTTTTTTTCCTCCCTCCATCTTGAGATGATGCTTTCACAGCAGCAAATGGAAAGACTTTGACTGAATGGGTTAATCAGGCCTCAGAATGAGAAAATAAATAGTAGTGCTACATAGATACAGCATGGCAACTTCACGTGTTACCATGATATGAAGCATAGCAAATGAAGATTTGCGACCACAAAATGAAACAAAATAAAATTAAGTCTCCCAGTTGACAGGGGATAAGCTGAAAGGGAAAATGAGAGAACTCTGGGCCCAGGGACAGCAATATGTGACATACACAGGGGATACCTTGAGGTCTCTCTCTGTCTGCTGCTTCTCTGCGGTCAGCTCTGAGAGCGAGTTCTGCAGTGCTTGCGACTGGGAAGAGTAAAACTCCCGCTCCTCCTCCAGTGCTCGGGACCGCTCCTCATTCTCCTTCATCCTGGAGCACGGCACAGCAACGGAAGACGACCATTCCCACCCCAGCACAACTCACAGGAAGGAAGGGGCTCAGTACCATGATGGGGCATGCTTAACTACCTGGCTGCCCTGAGCAAAGAGGCGCTAACAGGAGCACTGTCTGTGTTTCACTTTAATAACACAGGCATTGCTGGAGAAGGTCAGGTGGACAGTTCTTGAATGGAACATTCTCAACCCCCAGACAAGGTCCAGGAGCACCGAACGCTTCTTACGGACAAGCCCATGAACACCAAAGGGATTCACGTGCCTAAGTCCTGATTTGAAAGGAGCAGGCCCAAGCGGCAGCAAGGAGTTCAGCTGCCCTGCCTCACTCTGTCCCCTCTGAAGCATTTATAACCTGAACTCCGGCCATGAGAACCAGACAAGCTTCCAGACTTGTCTTATGTTGGCAACCAAAAAGCAAGTCAGCAGATAGTCACGTCATTTGGCACCAACAAGCCTGAGCAGGGCAGAAATGTCCTCTTCCATTTACTGCACCCAAGAATGGAAATTATAAAGGATCTTGCCTCTCTACAGTCTCAGGATAAACAGGGGAACAGTTTTGAAGCGAGGCTAATTTTAAGCCTGGAAATATTTAGGCATACCCTTTCTGATTGCCTCCCACCTGCAAGGGGGAAAACTACCTCTTTTCCCACCACCCTCTTCACACTGGATCGCATCTTGTCCCACAGCCCTGTCTCTGGCACCACCGTAAAAGCCCCTGCCCCCACTTCACCTCTTCTCTGCCAGGAGTTTCTCCTCCAGAAGTTGCTGCATCTTCTCTTCAATCTGTCGCAGGCTGCAGTGCAGTCCCCAGATGGGGCTTTGCTCCTTGCTGGGGCTGGTTGGAGGTGGGAGCTGGCTCTCATTTTCTTCCAGCATCTCCAGCATTTGCTGCTTTTCCAGGGAGAGCTCCTTGAAGAAGGGCAGAGATTGTGAGTATCAGCCAAGTCTAACATTTCTGCTCCTGTTCCTGCCTGGCTCCTCCCTATTGAGTCCCTCCATCCTGACATCCACATGCCTCATTCAGGTTAAAAACAGGAATAACAAAATCTGGTTTTCATTTTTTACCTGCCTCATGAGGAGCAAGTCTCCACCATAGCCCTCGCCATGCAAGGGGGCGAGAACCTGCAGGCTCCTTTGACATGATATGCTAGTAAGGACCCAGCTCAGGGACTGGAGCCTTGTGCTTCCCTGCCTTCCCTCCTCACCTCGCTCCTCAGTGTGAACTAGAGGCATCCCCTCTGTGGTACTTCTAACTGTGGGGCAATAGGACATATCATGCTGTTTTCCTCTGAAGTGTTCGGTCCGCTGTGTAACTAGGGCACGAATGGTCCTTCCATAGCTTTCCAGATCTTTTTTCATACCCGTAAGTGCAGGCAAGCAGAAGAGCTCAAAGGAACATCAGCAACAGATTTTTGGACAAACTTGCAGGATCTGACACGAACATTAAGGATGACGTTGAGGCTTCAGAAGGCCAGCTGTGTGGAAATTTCACAAGCAATATACATTTAAAAAAGCCACTTTCCACCAATCCACCAGAGTGATACCAAGTAAGGAAAGGGTTTCATATATCAACACTCCGTTTCCTAAATTCCCATGTGATACACGATTCCCTGGGAGCCATGCTCCCTTCTGTGAACAAGGAATGCCTCTCTGCTGCTCCAATTTCCACCAGGACTTAGGGAGTTGCAGTTAAAAAAAAAAAATCAGAAAGCTGTCACAGACTTACAGCCATGTTGGCTGGAGGGGACCCTCTGGTAGGCTCTAGTCCAGCCTCCTGTTCAGAGCTGGTCTGTCAGGACAGCAAGATAGAGTCAGCTGTGGCTTTCTACAGTCGAGCTGTGAAAACCTTCTAAGATGGAGGTTCCTCAGCCATTCCCACTGCCTGCCTACCTGTCTGGTGAAAAGTCTCTGCCTAATGTTCAACCTGAGCTTCCCAAACTGCAACTTATGGTTATTGTCTTATATCACATCACCTGGTACTGCTGAAAAAAGTTTGGTTCTGCTGAGCTCCGTGTCACTTCTAGTTCTTTTCTGCAGGGGATTTCGGCCTTCGTATCAGCTACCGAATGAAACTGTTCATCTGCACAGGACTTAACTCCAGCGCTAGCAGATGTTAGATTGATTCCACACGACAGCGCTGCTTTCAGCCCTGGTCAGTTTTCATGGATCGTTCCCAAAATGCTGTCACTCAGAGGGGAGAAGCAGTCACTCACCTCTAGGGTTTTCTGTAAGGACTGTGTCAGGCTTCGCAACTCTTTCTTTTCTTCCTCCACTCCTTTAAGGGAGCGGGCTGTGAGCTCTAGCTCCCTAAAGAAGCAAAAAGGGCGATAGCTATTGCAGGGGAACACTAGCCCCATAGACCGCACTCAGACTGCACAGGCTGTGGATCTCTTAGTGCAGGACCTGCGACCGGTGGTTGGTACAGCAGGAGAGTCAGCCCTGGAGAGTCAGGAGCTTGCCAGGAAGCATCACGCCTTGAACACACTACGGGCATCCAGGAACTTTACTGTGCCTCCTGATCGTCAAACCAAAACCAACTGTTAGTGTGCTTCTCTAGCAAGGGCAGGGCCACGGTTGCAACTGGAAGAGCTCAGACAGGGCAGTCATATCTGAGCAGATGTAGGTCTATGAAAACAAAAATGGTTTGCAAAGTCACACTGGGTTTTCTGAGATGTTATTTAGGGAGAGAAAAGGAAAAAAAAGAGGGCAATGGCAAAACATGCCCTTTCAACACTCAGGGCAAAGCACTTGCATCCTTCCTTTCCTAAATACATTTGCTGTTCATATTTTGCAGAGTGTAACTCTTAAAATGACAAAATTATTTTTGGTGAGGTAACCTCAGCATCCACCCAGTGTCATTCATGATGGTGGAAAACCAGATTCAGTTGTCTGGACCCCACATGGCTGGTCAATCAATCAAACTAATTGCCTCTCTGAAATCCTCTAGCACATGTCCGCTTCCATGCTATCCCCAGTAATCTGGGGTTTGCTCATGTCCCAGTCCTTTGAAAATGAAGTTGCTGGAGCCCTGCATGCAAAATGAAACTGAACTGTATTCTATTGGTCGCACAAGTGATAGCAAATGCAGGTGAACAGATCTCAACCGTTCCTGTTGCATTTATCTCCTTCCTACATGCGCAAAATAGGTGGATTTTATGAACTGTTTTGATTCACCACCACAGCAGCATTTCTGCCCAGTCTGGGAGTTCACCTGCCCTGCGCAGCTTCCCGCCTTACCGTCTGATCTGTTCCTGCTCCAGCCGCAGCTCCCGTACCACCTCTTCAAACCGGTGCTTCTCTGCTTCCAGGACCTGGTTCAGACGCTCGAGTTCCTGGACGGAAAGAGGAGACAAGAATGTATTCTGCTGACACACTTACAGTTAAGAAAGGCTTCCCTGTTAACAATGCCTGGGACTTTTAACCTGAGTTATGTAGAGCCACAGGGTGTCCAATTCCACCACACTTTTGTCCAGGGGCAATTAGAAGGGATTGACGGTTGGCTGACGATTTCCAGACGTCCAGAAGTCCCAGCCAGGTTACCAGGCACCTGGAAATCCCAGACATGCTCCCTGCACAGATCAGCTCTGCTGCACATATACAGAAGGTCCAAAGCTCCTTGGGAAAGTTGGACTCAACATGCACAAACCATTTCCAGGTGCCCACATGTGCAGGTACGGAAAGCCCGGACAGGAATGTGACAGCCCCAGCACTGCTGCACCTGAAGTGTGATATTTCTACTAGCTCAGCCTTGCTTCCCATACCCACTGGGATAAGAAAAGACGAACTGCACAGTTACAGCTTTGCACAGTTTAAGCAGCCTGTAGCTATCTTTGTGCTAATAAAACCATGCTTAAAGAGCACTGAATACCACAAGCTATCCTCCAGCAGTGAAACAGTCTCCTCCGCTAGTCCAGAGGAAGCAGTTGTACCGAGACCTACTGCAGAAGGAGGGAGACAGGGACAAAGTACAGCGAGGGTCCCGCTCCTGGTCAGGTCCCCTTGCAGCCTTATCTGCCAGGCAGAACTCCTGCTGCAGGCCCAGGAAGGTCACAAAACAGCACTGACGCCAGACAAATTCATAACAAGACTCTTGCTCCATAGTGCAGGTACATTGTCCAAGCTGCTTTCCCAACATATTGCTCTGAAGCCTTCAGGCTCACAGCAGGTCGGACCACCACAGCTCAGTGAGCTATATATTCATTCCTTCATCAGTAACAAACTCCTTCAGACTAACCTGGCCCCATCTGCTCTTTGTGGGCAATGGAGATACCGTGCATGGCTTTCTAAGAGCAGAGATTTGTTCCAGGGTCTTTAGACAAGGGCATTTCCCTCCCTATGGCTGTGGGTTGTGCAGCAGGCTACCTCACCAGAAAGGGATGTCCCCCTGCGAAGGCAGAAGTAGCTTAGCCCCCATCTTTGGACTCTAGCACTGCAGAAATGTGCACAGGAAAAATATAGGCCTGAGAAGCCTAGGTCAGCATTGCCATCTTTTGCTAAAGAGGGGCGACAGTCATTGTGGATTAACTGGAAAAGAGAGCATGCGGCAGTTTGCAAGATTGCAATGTGGTGGTCTACATCCATGCAGGATTTCCTACTGTGTAATAGGACAACCCATTTGCAAAGCTATCTTGCAATAACTTTATGATGGTGCTATAAAAACCGGTATAGATTTGGTGTAAATATGAGAATAAGCTACTTTTATTATATTAAGCAAATATAAGTTAGGAATAGTTTGGAAAACAGCAATAAACTTGATAAATTAAGGTATAATAGTCACATCTAAGGGACTGCTCTCTTGGACTTTCCCTAGTGCAGTGTTTATTGTTTTCCCCATCTCTGGTGTGCCCAAAGAATAAACCACGTTGCTTTTTGCTGCTCCTTGTTTCTACAATGGTATCTCTACACTAGAACAACATCAGGTCCGTTTATTTGCTTTTTAACTGTGGAGACAGACAAGTTGATTGCCAGAGTCCTCTTGAATCTACCAAATAACAAGTGTTTAATTCAACCCAGTGAATATGAATTTAATCTGATCGTCCTCCCTGGTCCTCCTGGAGACATAATCACAAGCACGTTGCATGGAAAGTGCCTGGGAAGGGGAGCAGGGATACACACCTCCAGGACCCAGCCCATGGCACAGCTCTTATTCCTCTCGTTCAACCACAGGGCCCAGAGGTTGGTTGGAGACTCTTTTGGCTTTGCAGCCTCCCTCCCTGAAACGTGGTGTGCTCTCAAACCACCACCAACTCCCGACCTCCCATCCTGCCCCATGGAAGATGACGGGTATTGGCTTGTGGTGAACACTTACCTCTTTTTGCTCCCTCTGCAGACACAGCTCTTCTGTTTCTTCCATTAGCTTATCTGCAAACACACACACACAAAGGCCAAATGCAGAGAAAAGCAATTTATATCCTGGGGATATTTATGAGTATGAAACACTGACTGTTTGGAGCTTGAAAATGCAGCGTTCCCTATTGCTCTGTGTGTATCTGTCTGGGAGGCTCCAAAGGCTGAGATGACACTAATGGGATGCTCTGTAATTTCCCTCCTGCCAAATAACTTAATAAAACTAAACAACCATATAGCTGTGTGCTTCTAAGGTTTCCTCTCAATGTTCTTAAAGAGCATTAATGAACTAACCCTTGCCATCCTCTAGCGGAGTCAGGAAAATACCCTTATCTCTGCTTCACACATGAGGAAGCAAAGGCACAGCAAGGTTAAATGGGTGCCCAGGGTCGCAGACTGTGTAGCAGCCGTCAGTTCTCCTGCAGTTCAGTGCCCCATCCCTACCCACCTAGCACATGGCTCTCTCCTTCAGCCTCCTGGGCATCAGTGCCAGCTCCCTATTGTCACCTTGGGATGTCCCAGCCAAGCCCAGAAATCAATCGCCAAACTTAGCCACAAAACTTTTTGCTGTTAAGAATAGCTGCCCTCAACATCGGTTGCTCTTGTCTACTGAGAAGGACACGTGCCCGCCAGAGACTCTGCTCTGATCCTTACACTGTGACCTGATGTACCTATGTTGTGCTACGCTCTAACCTTAAACAGAGGCTCTGCCTTAGGCAGCTCTGAGTCATGCTTACAGGAAACTAGACAGAAACACATTCCATTCCTCATAGTTAAGCCTAGGGCTTAGCTCTCAGCTCTGCCACTCGGCTGCTGTGTGAGCAGGGGCAGATTCACTGTAGCACTTTATGATTAAGTCCTCCCCGTAACAGGTGAGGAGGATGCTACTGGTTTCCTTCGTACTGGACACCTGAAGGGATTACTCCTGCTGGCAGGATTACTACTGCTAGGAGGAGGAATGCAGATCTCCACTACCTCCTGCCCACAGCAGGGCTCCTCTTATGTTACTAAAGCTCTGCTGATCGCCACTGCTACCTTTCCTTCCCTGTCTCACCCTCTTCCTCCTTGCCAGGACCCAGCACAGCTGCCCTGTAATTACAAAGAGGTTCTCCCACCTTCCCTCTTCTGCCCCCCCTTGGGGGGCCAAGCCCAGGGCTTGATGGGCTTCTGCAAAGTCCCACCTTGAGAGAGAAACCTGGATCCCAGTTGGGTGAGGGGGGAAGAGGAAGGTAACTCTGGGGAGATTGAGGGAATTCCCCAGAGCAGTGTTTGCTTCCTCCAGAGAGCCTTGACTTGCTGCCAGGAGCAGTGCCCGACCTCAAAACTTAACTGTAGGATGGACACACATCGTTGAAGGTAAAGCTAATGAGGTAGAAGCCTCAGCAGTTATGTAGGAATAAATAGACAATCACTGTCAAAAGAAAGTAACCAACTGTGACAATTGACCAGCTCTGAATGTTCTTGTCATGGACTAAAGAACCCAGTGGGATGTATATTTTATATTCCAAATATCTCCTGTTTGCCACAGAACGTGTATTTATTCCTCCATCACCTTGTCTTTTACCATACTGAGGCCCTCTTTAGTCTCTTAGGCTCTTTAGTCTGCTCTGGTGGTTGCAAAATAATGTTTTGACAAAACTTTCCTCTTTCTAACTTTCCTCTTGTCTCTCCAGGTCCTCCTCTCAGCATTCCCTGTTATCCCCTTGTCAGGTGTGGAACCGCTCCTCCCTGCCTGCCTCACACACGAGCCCATCCATCAGCCCACACGTACAAATGGCGCTTAGACGGCTAGAACGAACATGCCTTGATACTTGAATTATGATCACTGTTACATGTGAGACCATATACTGAGATCACCCCTGATCAGCATGGATGCAGAAATGCAAAAGGCTCTTCAAGATTCCTCCAGTGGCTTGATGATTAGAAGTAGAGACCAGGAGCCCCTGCTCAAGGCACCACCAACCTAAAAGCACACAAAGGTGCCGCTAGCTTGTTTAGAGTAGACGACTGTCCAGCTAAATCACTGGGCTCACACATGCGACCAGCAGCTCCCAGGCCAGAAGGGCTGTTATGCCTATCTTGGGGAACGTTCCAACTTAGGAGGCGTCTGGGTTAAAGAGGCTGCTCTCCCTTGGCTCTTGCTATAGGCAATGTGGGGAGAGACAGCTGGACTGCCATCCAGAGGCTGTTTTTTGAGTAGGGGATTGGACTAGATAACCTCCAGAAGTCTCTTCCAACCTTCTATGTTCATCTGGAGTAACTGCTCTCTCTCCATTGCCCACAGAGAGAACAATGGCAAATTAGCCACTACCATTAGACACCTCAAACAAGCCCATGTAAATGCTCCCACTTTCAACATGAACAGCGTGGGCAAATGCAGACAAAGATTAAGTAGAGTAAGACCAAAAAAAAAGACAGAGGAGGAAAACTCATGCATGAAAAGCTGTGATCATCCTCAGAAATACCAGTCCTGTGTGATTCAGGGAGACAAGGGTATTGGCTGTTTGCCTGGTGAGCAGCTGAAATCAGCACATCCAAACTTCTCAGGGGCAGCAAACGTGTACAGTCCAGCCATCCGGAGCTGCAGGACCGCAGCATGCTGGCCAAGACCTGTTCTTCCTTTCACATCCCACACAGATATCCAGATCCTACCTTAATATTTTCATGTTTTGACTCCCTTCAAAACGTGACTTTCAGCTGCTGCCTCCTCAAAAGCTTCATCCAGTAAAAGTCAACAGTAAAAACCTGTAGCTGCTTGGCTTGACCACTCCAGAAAAGCAAAGTGGCTATTTTGGGGTTTATGGCTTTTGGAAGTAAGAGTTTCCTACCTAAATATTCCTGTTTCTCCTTGGCCAGCTGCAGTCCTTGGGCTTCCAGGCTCTCGATCATGGCTTCTCCCAGCTGGGCATTCTTCCAGGTCCTAGGGAGAGCAGACACGAAGCAGACAATGTAAGAGAGCTAAGGGTCCCACGGATTGAAGCAGGGGACTCAGCCTCGCAATCTACCAAGGAGTTCAAACACGCAGACTCTCATCAGCTGGGACAGTGATTCCCTAAATTTTTCTCCACAAATGAATTGGAGAAGTTTCCCTGACATTCAGTAATATTTTTTTTTTTTTTTTTTTTTTTTAAAATACAGGAGCTCTATGTCAACATTGCACAGCTATTCAAATGTTTTTTCCAGTGTTTTGGAGATTTCTACACCAAGTTTAGTATTAAGGGCTCTCCAGACCAACCCAGCACACGCACAGCCTCCAACTGCAACAGGATGTACCTGGAACCCATTATATGGATCCCGACAGACTTCAGAACCAGATTTTAGCTTTTAACTCAACTAACTTCCCATCTGCCAGTGACATTGTCTTCTGCAGCCTTTCCATTATTTTGCTGCTACAGCCACTCTTT